GAAGCAAGAGGAAGAGAAGGAAGAAAGGGGGACGGGGGCGATCGTCTCGCCGGACCGAGGGGGCCGGGCGGGTGACGGGATCGAGGACGAGACAGTCAGGAAGGAGGAAGCGGGCGAGGCCGCAGGGGAGGACGACGGGATGGGGAAGGAGAAGGTGAGAATGGTGGTGGAGGAGGGAGAGGCGTCAGAGCCTGGGGCGCGCAGGCCGGGAGGGAGGGACCTGGAGAGTCCGCCCACCATGGCGGACCTTGGCTTGTCGCAGTTCACCCGCCGTTTCATCGAGACAGCCAAGGAGGGGACCTGGGGAGAAGGGAAAGGAAGGGAGAGCGCCAGGAAGGAGAGCAGCCGGGAAGCAGACGCCTCCTCTCAGGAACTCAGCCCTTCCTCCCCCACCTTGCCCCTGGAGAGAGGGGCGGCAGCGGCGGCCACGGGACCCAAGACGCCCGTCATCGTCATGCCCACCGCCCAAGGCGTGCGTGAGTTTCCTTCCCCCGTCTTCCGCACGGGAGTCAAGCTCAGGCACCCTACAGGGTCCACACCCGGGACCCGTCCTCGCCCAAACCACCTAGGCGCTTCCTCCCACTCCTCCTCCACTTCCTCCTCCTGCCGCTCTCCCAACCTCTTCGAACCTCAGAGCTTGAACAAGCAGGGGTTGCGACGCTCCTTGCATGCCCCCGCCTCCCTCCCGCCCTCCGCCCGTCCCTCCCACCCTCCTTCGACCCGCCACGACGATGACACCGAGCTACAGCATCATTCCTTCGTCTCCTCCTCCACCGCCACCCCGGCCATGCAGAGCCCCTCCCTCCTCCAACGTCACGCATCCCTCGCCGGGCGCCAATGCCTTGGCCAACCCCTTTCCCTCTCCTCTCAAGCGTCTGGTCCTCCCCGAGGCCCCTCCGTCCGTCCCTCCACCTCCTCGTGGGCGGCGCGCTCCAACGACCCCACCCCAGAGCTCACCTCCTCGGCCAAGACTCCTTTCCGCGTGCTGCCTTCGGGGCTGGACCAGGGCGCAGGAGAAGACGAGGAGAGGGATGGAACGCCCTCCACCGCCCGGTGTATCCGTCTGTTGCAGTTTCCCCCCCTGAGCGCGGGGAGCAAAGACAAAGTGGAGGGAACGGGGTCCGGTGGCATGAAACGAGGCAAGCGTTTGAGTCGGACGCCGGCGGGTGCTGATGCGGTAGAGGCCGGAACAAGGGACAGGGAGGACAGAGAGGGGATGATGATGGGGGAGGACGAGTCTTTCTCGTACAACTACCCGGATTTAACGCGGCAGTCCGCCAGCTTCGTCTTCTCGCCGAACCGCATGGTGGGGCTGGGGTTGGAGGCGGAAGGGGGCGGGGCGGGGGCGGAGGGAGAGACGGGCCCCCGTTATTATCTGCGGAGTGCGGAAAAGAAGGCTCGGGAGCTGGCAGTGGTCCGGGCAGAGGAAGAAGAAGCAGCGCGACAGGCGGCCTCAGTGCGTGCGTTAGCAGCGGCACGCCGAAGCCCTCGACTCGCCTCCTTGGACAAGCATGGCGCTAGAGTATCAGATAGTGCGGGGCAGTCGGCGAACGAAGGCGAAGGAAAGCAGGAAATAATGACCCGTGCGCCGTCTGCGAAGCCTTTCGCATCATCGCCTGCCGTGCCAGCAGCTTCTCCCATGCCAGCCAGCTCCACAACGCATACCCGCAAATCCCCTCGGATTGCCCGCTCCACATTGGAACGGGAAGTGACCGCTGCCTATCAGGCCACGGCCAAGGTGGGATCGGGGAAGAGGCAAAGTCTCTTTGCGGCCGATGTCGAGGCCGAGGTGGAGGCAGGACCTGACAAGGCGGGGCCACAGCCGTGCCGGCCCATTCCGGAAGTCCCTGAGGAGGAATTTGCCCGGGCGCCCAGCTTCATCCAGATCCAGGTTACTAGGGAAATGCTGAACGATGCCATCAAGGTCTTTAATTCCCACATGAAGGGGAAGCAACATGGAGGCAAATCAGGGGTACAAGCCCTGCCCCTCGATCAAGTCACCGAAATTATAGCCCAAGGTGATCTCTCCAAGACCATCTTGCTTTCTCTCGCCCATTTGAAACGGGTAGGAATGAGTATGACAACGCAGGGACAAAGGGCGTACAAGATATGGATGTGAGGGAACAGTGTAGCGGAGGGGTGCGTCAAGACACGAACTGTTTGATAATGGACGGACCAGAAGGTAAATTGTTTGAGGACTGACACTGGTCTGTGTCCTACCCGGACAACCCATCTGAAGTGTAGAAAGGACGCCGACCTCTTCACATCAGCGAATTTTAAACGAGAGCATGATGTCTTGGCATGTCAGATCTTGATACGCTGGAATATAATAAGAGGACAAGTTGCGTATGGTACCTGTTAATAAATTCGCATTTTGGGGGATGCTAGTGGAGCAGTAGGAGGAAGCGCAATGCAGGGTATCATAAAAATGTTGCATCATGGCAAATTAAGATCATTGCGTGTTTTGTGACTTAGAAAACCATGTCGCCCGATAATGAAAAGCAGGAGGGGAATAAAACGACGTCAAGTGAAAAGCCAATTCTTGGATACTCATGAAATCGCATTGAGTACATCTTTTCCGACTCAGCTGACCACATTTTAAGGTCCGCTTGTACACATGCATTGCTCTATTTTCTAACTTTATTTGATCATACGGCCCATTAGTACCTGCTGGTGCGATTCTTGTTGTGCAAATATGATTCTGCCGCACATGATTTCACCGCACATTAAGCCATATGCATTCAAGACCGTGCACAAAATGTGAAATTTCAGGCTCTATCCCATCGGACAGGACGCGCGTATTCCCTCCCTTCACTGTCATCCGTTTTTTTTCCTTGACGGTTTGCATGTCAGACAAAAAGGCCTCGAAAGGGAGATGACAATTACTGAGAGTGTTGCTGCTTCTTCGCCTTCGACCCCTTGCCCCTTACATTTCAAACATTTTCTTTCATTCCACACAAGCTTCATAAAGTGGGCGAAGATCTCCACATGACAACCCATCGCAAGAAAAAGGCAGTGCCAGAACTTTCTGATACAAGAACTCAGGCCTCACGACGGGGAGTTGGTGTTTGGGGGGGGGGGAGGATTGGAGGGGGGTTGCCTACGAGAGGCCACAAAAATCGGTTAATGCGACAGTTGCCACACCACCTGGATCTACTCTAGTAAAAGGCGAGAGAGATTTCCAAGGTTGATGGTGAGGCTGTGCTGGGAGCACGGTTGCTGAAGGTTTGCTCTATATAGTAGATTGGATGAAACAAGAATGTGATTCGCTTATCGACATTGAGTGGACTCCACGAGTGACGCCAGGGGTTCTTTTTCAAGGAAGTATGCTGTATTGGAGGTATAATGCTCTTATGGTTGCCTTGGGAGCCTGTTATTTGCTGTTTCATCTCGTGCTTTCGTTCCTGTATTCATTAAATCGGAAATTTGCGCCATTAAAGCTGTACTACGAGACAGGGCATCAGTGGCGGGGAGGTCAGTTGAAAAATATCGATTCGCTTCCCTTTTCTTTTCTGTGTTGCGATATTGGGTTGTTCCTTAATAATACAAGTCGAGAAAAACATTTATGTACTCGGGGATTGTTGGCACACATGTAATGAAACCTTTTGAGTCAGGCTCATAATGCCGCTTTCAAACATTTTTGTAAAGGTCCCATGGGCCAAAAGCTTCAGCATGCGTTCGCTTTACGATCGAGATTTGTCCAGTGTATAAGCGGAAGAAAGTATCTACTAGAATTATCGTGACTGGAGCACCTTGTCAAGGCACCTGCACTGTGCTTCTCGAGTATTTTTGATTTACCATTTGCCGAAAAGCTCCTCAATATTCATGTTTCGTGTGCATTAATAGAAAGGAAAGAAAACAGTGCCTCGCAATAATATCATTCAAATTTCTTACCCATTTGAATTTTCTTTCAGCTGTTACGAAGTTTACTTGATTACACAGTGAAAACCTATGTACACCCATCTATTTTACCTTTTCTCTGCCCCTCGCTTCAAACCTCCGATCAAAGCGTCCACCAGTCAACTGCACCACGTCACAACAATCCTCAACGACGCTGTACACGTACACATTTCCTCCCCCACCTCCTCCTCCTGCTATACCTCCGCCTTTTCTTCCCTGCCCTATACCTCGCCCTTGTTTTTTTTCTTCCTCTTCCAACGCGTCTGCTAAGGACCTCAAGCCTTTCTTGTACGGGCCGCAATGCTGACTCACCCACGGATCACGCAGCGCTTCCTCTGGACCGACACGAAGGTATGCAGTACAGAAGACACGAATGACTATGTACGGCATTTCCACTGCCAACACCACCACAGCTTCCCGTTGTGGTCCGGATCCTACGAAAGGATGACCCACCATTCGCTCGAGATGAGATCGCACTCGCCGTTCCAAGGCCGTCATTTCCTTGTACGCTTTCCGACGATCTGCGCCGGGCGCGTATTGCGAGAGTTTCGAATCAAGGTAGGAAAGCTTGACCTCCACTCCCCCTCCTCCTCCCCCTCCTCCCGCGATCCCGCCTCCGACTCCCCCTCCTCCGACTCCCCCATGCGCATTATAGCTGTGTTGATAATATCCCGCGGGGCCATGATCCAACGCACTCGTGTCCACGTGGTACGGCCATCCTTTCTCCCCGCTTCCTCCCCCCCCTCCCCCACTAAAGCCTCCTCCGCCCGGGGACGGTATCCTGTCCAATATATGACGCGCCAGCTGCAGCAACGGCACCGTCGCATCGGACACGCCGGCCTCCCTCACTGCGCGAAGCTTCACCGCCCTCTTGTCTCGCAAGACGTGCGCTTTTACCATTACCAGGAAGGGAATGCCCATGGCCAGGCAGACCCGGGTCGCGTCCTCCACGGACATCTCCACCCGCCCTCCCTCCCGCCCTTTCCTCCACAAGTCTTGTGGGAAGTATTCCGCTTTCACGCCCCGATTCCAGAGCACACAAGCCACCAGCAACCGATCGGCCATGCCCCCCGCCCCCAGCCCCGACGCGGTGGAGCAGATCAGGACGTCGGGGGGGCCGGCGCAGGAAGGGAGGCGAGGTATCGCATCGACGGAGAGGGGGAGGAGGCCCTTGGAGCTGTGGGGACTGTGCGCGACATAAGGCACCATCAATAGGGGACACATGATTCGCCAAGCGCCTTGGGGGAGCCGAATGAGGATGGGGAGAAAGGAAACGAAAGGGGAGAAGGGAGATGGAAAGGAAGGCGACCTACCGCGTGAGTTTTTCGATGGAAACCGTCATGCCCATGGCAAGCAGGAGGGGCGACGCCCACTGGGCGGGAGAGCGGTGTTCAAGTATCAGACTGTCGTAACGCCCCCCCTCGATCACACAGTATCGCAGGTAGCGATGGGAGGCTCCGGTAGCTTGTCTCGAGTAGGAAGCAGAGGCGCTCTGTGAAGGGGTTGGAGGGGCTTCGGAGGAGGCCTGGGGGGCCCGGGGAGGGAAAAGGGAAGCAAATTCTTTCCCTAGCGTGGGCGGGACAAGAACTTGGAAGATCAAGCCCGAGGTATAGTGAGACTTGCGGCGGTGGAGGCCCATATCAAAGACAAGGGCCAGCGGGGCGTGCTTGCATTCGACGGGGCCCTTTCCCCCCTGAGCACCGGCCAATAGAGAGGCTTCCATCAAATGTTTGGGTTCCTTGGGGCTCATACTGAATGTTTGTGGGGTATCCCCGGTCACCCCTCCGCATTTTTCCCTCATCCAAGGCCCCGGCACAGAGGTGTGGAGAGCACGCCGTCCGTCCCCCCCTCCTTGCCGAGTGCCAACACGGCGGTGATGCGTTTGGAGAGGGTTCAAGCCAGGATTTTGGTTGGGGTTGTCCAAGCTTGGATTGATGGACGGCGTGCTTATCCTGCCTCCCACTCCGCCTTTCTCAACCCCCGAGAGGGAGGACGGGGGGGAGGACGAGAGCCCGGTAGGGGTGGGGGAGGAAGCCGCAGGCACGACCAGCATGC